GGCCCTGGTGGGTACTGCCAAAAGCTTTGTCGTAAACGAGACATCGAATCTCTCCTTTCCATCTCTGAGGACATTTCATCCTCCCTCGAAGAGCGGGGTGATATATGGCTGTGCTGCATGGTGGGCCCTGGTGGGTACTGCCAAAAGCTTTGTCGTAAACGAGACATCGAATCACTTCCCCCCATCTCTGAGGACATCTCACCCTCCCTCGACGAGCGGGATGATACATCAGTGTGCTGCATGGTGGGTCCTGGTGGGTACTGCCAAAAGCTTTGTCGTAAGCGAGACATTAAATCACTCCCTTCTATCGCTGAAGATATCTCATCCTCCCTCGACGAGAGAGATGACACATCAGTGTGCTGCATGGTGGGCCCTGGTGGATATTGCCAAAAGCTTTGTCGTAAACGAGACATTGAATCACTCCCTTCCATCGCTGAGGATATCCCATCCTTCCTGGAAGAGCGGGATGATACATCGGTGTGCTGCATGGTAGGCCCTGGTGGGTACTGCCAAAAGCTTTGTCGTAAACGAGATATCGAATCTCTCCCTTCCATCTCTGAGGTCATTTCTCCTCCCCTAGAAGAACGCGACCGTGGCGGATGGATATGCTGCATGTGGGGCCCGGGTGGGTACTGTCAAAAGCCTTGCAAACGAGACATTGCAAATCCAGAGGGTCTTAAGTTGGTCGCTTCTAACCATATGGAGAGACTTCACTCCAGAGATACCGATAGGCGTACACCTATATCCAGTATCGACGAATTCCTTACCGCCGCTCGAACGAAATGTCCACGCCCGAATTGCAAGGTTGGAGTCATCATGTGCTCTTGGGAGAAGACTGAGATCGTGAAGTGTATATGGCCTGGATGTTGGGAGACACATGTTACTTGCTACTGCAATCAGAATGCTCCTCACGATCCCTTCTGTGTCACGAAACGATCGGGTAAACCTGCCCATGCTGGGACAGGGCCTTCTACTATCACACAGTCAGAACGCGACCTCGCTGCTCCCCTTGTAGACCCAATTGATTTCAGCAGTCCGTGCGAGGGAGGACATAAAAATTGCCGTAATGGCCAGCCAGAGGTGTGTATTGGCGGCACCTGGCAACCCAATGGACCTCCGTGCAAAGGTGCACGTTGCTGCCGTAAAGATGGCGGATGCGTACCAGGTTGTGACGACACCCCTCATCTCCCTTCTGAGACTCCTAGACCTTCGAACTGCCCAGAAGGGCAGAGAATTTGCAATGGCGCCCAGCCAGAGATGTGCATCGCCGGTAACTGGCACCCCTATGGAGATCCGTGCAAGCAAGCTCGTTTCTGCTCGGAAGGGAGCTGCAAGCCCGCTACATGCGGTGACATGCCTCCTAGTCCCACTCCCACTGCTTCTCCTAAACCTGAGAAATGTAAGGAAGGAGAGAAGGCTTGTGGTGACGCCCAGCCACAGATCTGTATCGGCAGTACCTGGCAGCCTTGGGGGGCTCCATGCAAACAAGCTCGTTGCTGTTCAGCTGGAATTTGCGGTAATTCCTGTGGCGATATGTCTCCCGAACCTGCAATCAGCCTCACGGGCACAACCGAGTCTCGGCAATCGCCATATTCCGAGTGCACACCAGTCACCTACAATTGTACTATCACTGACAAGGGGGCCGTTATTTTGTTCTGCAACTCCCAGGGCCGATGGTACGAAATGAAGGTCTGTGGCGCTCACTGTTGCAAGATCGACGCTAGAAAATCCGGTCCCAATGGAATTGGTTACTGTGACGAGTCGTGCCGGAACCCCTCGAATGCCACAATCGAGACTCGACAATTGTCACCTCCGATCAAGTATGAGGAATCAAACTGCACACGAGGGACAAAAGTCTGTAAAGACGCGCAACCAATGATTTGCAGAAATGGTTTCTGGCTTCCTAACGGGCCTCCGTGTAAGCAACTTCGTTGCTGTAAGAGTGGTGAATGCATGAAGGGCTTCTGTGGCCATTCACCCTCTAAGTCCTTGAGCACTGATGAAGAACTTCCCCTTAGTCCCCCCGTTCGCAACCTTGAGTCCGGGCCATGCAGCCCTGGTGAACAACGCTGTGCAAAGAACAACTGGGCTGTTCTCGCTTGCACCGATGAAGGAACATGGACGATATCTCGACCCTGTGGTTTCAATTGCTGCAAGTCTGAGCAACCTGGATCAGCACAGTGCGTTTGCAGCACCGAAGACTCAACAATTGGCAGACATGCACTTGATACTCGGCAAGATCACAGCGTTCCAAGTTGTACTCCGGGAAACTACAACTGCGATACCACTTCGACTTCTATCCTCGTCTGCAATGCCGCAGGCCAATGGAAGCTTTCCCATCATTGCGGCCCAGACCCGTGCTGTTTCCGCGGACCGGTCCCTGGAACTGCGTTCTGCGAGTGTTCATTCTCGAAATATCAATCTACTTTAGAAGTCGGCTCTGACCTCAAGCTTACTGCTAACGATGAGTCCCGCGGCTGTGTAGCCGGGGCCTATTATTGCAGATTCACCGACGATACTCTTCATGCCGTCATTGTAGTATGTGATTCTCTAAACCACCTCACTATTTCAGGTGATTGCGGAGAGCTCCCGGATCATTGTTGCAAGCAGGGACCTATTCCTGGAACGGCTTATTGTGCGTACTGCGGTAGTAGGGGCGAAATTTCTTCTGAATCCAAGACTCGTGGCGGTTCCGGCCTTGCTGTTCATTCTGACGCTGGTGGAGACGGTGATCAAGCAGCCCTGGAATGTAACAATCTAGAAGGCTCTGCTTGCGGATCTCCGCAAACTTGTCCCCCAGGGGAGGTTATTTGCGCAGCCCACAAGCAAGTTCATGACGGATCCGCACTCATTATTCGAGACGACACCTCTGCGGCTGATCTTGCTGCCCACTGTCAGCCCGGAACCTTTGCCTGTGTTATCTTCGAAAAGCCACCAGAAGCTTACATCTGGCTCTGTGATTCCAACCGTAGGTGGGTGCAAGCTGCGGAATGCGGGCCACGATACAAGGACGGACGACCTTGCTGCCATAATGGTGACACTATTGGAACTGCGCGCTGCACCTGCAACAACCAAGCTTATGGCTACCCTTCTCTGGACCACCCAAATATCCGTTCAATCAACTTTGGATGCACGGCGGGAACTACAAGGTGCAGCGGAGCTACAATCCGAGCATGTGGCTCTGACGGCCTGTGGTACAAAGTTGGAGACTGCAAATATCCCGGACGCCGCCCAGACCCGAATAGCTCGCCTACTCTCCATCCATCGACTTTCCTCACTCTTACGACCCCAGAGCCGCATCGTGAGGGGTCTTATACGCCACTGATTGTGCTGTGAGATGTCTACTCAATTGAGGTTGAGATTTCAAGGGCGTGGCGGGGACGATCTAATGGCTGCTTCACTGTCTTCCCTTAATTCCATCCTTTTCCATTCTCCTTCACCTTTTTGGCCTAATTTCAACGGCGGCTTATATGTTCGGTGATGGATGAACAAAATTTCTCCCCTCTCTTCCCCTCTCTTCCCCCCTCCTGAGTGTATGTACAGTAACATCTCATTTGCATCTGCATTTACATGCATAGCGAGGTGTATAGACATTACCAAGGACAGGTGTGAGTCTTTTGGCGTTGGCGGAATCGAATGGAGCCGAATGTAGGGTTTAGGCTGTTTGCTGGACGAATCGGTGTCTTTGCAACAGTGAAGCCTGCTCCTGGGGATAAAAGTGGTTTTATGCTGATTAGGTATATGGCAATGGAAGAAGTTGCAACCTTATTTGCTTTGGGGTTCGATTTGATGCGTAATACGAAGTTTGATGTGAGCAATTGATGTCCTGTGATTCATTGAGTTTTGCGCTGTAAGGATTTGTAGGGGGGTGTGGTAAAATGGTCTTGTAGTGCTGGCCCTTCCAGTGCAAGGGGGAAACAAGCCAAAATAGATAAGGAATTCTGAGAGGATGAAGAAGTATATATTTGGCATGAATTTAGAAAACCAGTAGGTCTGGTATCATAAGATCTAGTCATACAAACACTAAATACTACTATATCCCTGTATCCTATCATAGAAGCTCTAAAGATTGCGATCTACAATGTTACGCTATGAGACTCCTGCTTTCGTATAGGTGCGGTAAAGGGAACCAAATCTTCATTACTTCACTGAATTATATCCAATCATCTCCACTGTAATGCTCCCATCTCATCCCACCCAGTTACACACTCGGCAACTGATCCTCTACTCTCCTCGAAAGCGGCACCCTCTCAACATCCACCACGGCGTCCCCACCCGTCTCCGGATCCGGATATTTCATCACCGCAAACTCACCACCATTCACCTTCCTTACTCTCCACGTCCCTGCTTCCTTCGCCTCCCTAAAGAATTCCTGATTCTCCTCAAAGCTACGTCCGCCCGACTCGGGGAGATATATCCACGTCCAGAGCCCCGCGACCCAGTTCGTTGCTGCGAAGATCACGAAGATGAAATACGAGAGATTGTTGAAGATGATGGAAGGAGCAGTGTGATGGCGAAATTCCCGATCCCCCAGATTATGATTGAGATGGCGGTGCCCTGGGCACGGGCGGTCGTGGTGTAGATTTTAGTCGGGATGAGCCAGATGGTAGCGAGCTAGCCGATGCCGAAGGCACCGGTTGCTAGAAACAGAACTAGTGTTCCTAGGATACCTAGTGCGAGGATGTGGATGTGAAGGGTCGATGCGTTAGTCGTGAGGCCGCTAAACATGGCGAGTAGGAGGACGGAGACTTGAATTAGGAGTTTGCGGCGGCCGAGGGCGTCGATGAGGGGCCAAGCAATCGTCATGAGCATAAAGTCGGAAGAGTAGTTCCCCAAGGTAAGGTATTCCGAGGTGCGGACTGGGAAGCTGAGGAGTTCGAAGATCTGGGGTCCGTAGACAAATACAGCACCGTAACCGGTTAGTGCTTGGTTGATTTGGCCCATTATTGTGATGATGGTGGGGTGTAATTGAGGGTGAGTTGGGGTCAGCATGTCGAGGTAGCCGACGTATGTTCCCTTCTCTTTTTCGTGTACGTCCATGAGCTCGTCGAAGCGTTTGTCGCCTTCGTTGCCGTAAATGTCATTTAATGCCGCCTGAGCATGGTTCTCCTTTCTGTGGTATACAAGCCATCTTGGCGACTCAGGGAGTCTTTCCACAAACGCCATCAGTAGGACTGGATAGATCTGCATGACAATTATCGGGATTCTCCATTCCCATTGGCTCCATTCCCCGAGGGCTTCTGTAACGCCCAGGTTGATTCCGAATGCCATAACTAGACCGAAGATGTTGAATTGTAACTCCTGCCTTCATGCCCTTCCCCTGGCCTGGTCTTCTGATAGCTCGGAACTATACCTGTACGCAAATTTAGTTTCTTCGAAATTACGAGTAGAAAAGAGGAACCGAGGTAGGTATCACCGCATCTACACCTCCAACACCTAGTCCCATGACGACTCGCCCTGCAACCATAACCCCGATTGCTCGTCTCTTATACCCCAAACCCGATATAAACATTACCAGGTTCTCTAAACAGGCTGTAGCAAGACACAAAAATATGCTCTTCTTCCTACCATATTGGTCCGCGAGACGCGAGAATAAGACTGCTCTGGCTGCGCACCCGAGATAGTACACGCTAACAATGATTCCCACCAACGGACTCTTTTCGCCGATGTCCATGGTATCTAAATAGTAATATTAAAAGCAAAAAGTAGGTAAATTAAGAAGTTACTTTACTGTTCTGTACTAATAATAGATAGAATAGTTAAAAGAGTATAAAATCTAGTATATTAGTGCGCGTTTAGCCTTTATACTACTATGCGTGAAAACGTCCTCTGCGAACACGTTAACAAAACACTAAGAAATTAATTAGTATAGGCAGTTACTGCAGTAACTATAGCCTTATTAACTGTACAGTAACAGAAGGCAATTTACTTTTGTTCTAACTGCTAAGAGATTGTTACTGTTAGTAACAGTAGGAACAGTACTACGTTCTATTAAATGTCGCACGTGTCTCACGCGATATCATACCCATGTACTGCACTATTCACTCATTAGGCATAGCTCCTCTCTTGTACAGTATATAGTCAGCCCAGAGCTCTATCGAGCTCCTCAGACCTTACAATACACTCGTTCAATCCACCTTGTTTGGATCTCGCTCCCTTGTCGAGTCGTTTGCCATATGCCCCCTCCTGAGCCCATGCAAGATTAAACACCATGTACGCCTTCCACTCTCGACCAATCGACACCACATCAACGATTACCACTATCACAACCTGCAACTGTAATCTCCTCCATCACAGACTTTGATGCCATAAACAAGGACCAGAGGCATTCTTTTTTTTTTTTTTTTGAGAAGTACGTTCTTTTTATCCCTTCCCCACTCTTTCACTCCACTCTCGAGGCAGCATGTACAAATATCCAGCAAGATTGTGTCAACAAAGACAGAAAGACAGATTTAAGCACTAAAATCCTGTCATTTACTTCTTGTTACATCTCCAAACAGGCCGAATGGTTAGAACCATGTATCGATTTAGAGACAAGCCCAGAGCAGCCAGCGTACTCGCACTTTAGAATAGTTTCCTTATCTACGACACGAAGGTAGAATATTCAGGACACCTTATTCGTGAGGAAGCAGAGGAAGCAGTGAGATTGAGAATGTCTCAGGGTTTATATACCTCTATATCGAGACGCCGCGATTTTGGGAGGGGACGTTGTAAGTGGCAAAAGCCAATTTTCTATCATGCACAGCAGAAGAATATATATACGCGGGTAGAAGTACACACGCGAAAGTGGACATCCTCCGAATTGAGCATCACGTGATAGGTTTTATTTGGATCTGTATGTACGATTGGGTACCATATGTTACTACATAATGTAGAACATGGGCAGGGTAGAGTCTAGATGTGGAATTAGGAAGGAAGTTAACATAATGCAATTTTCTGCCCTAAATTTCAAATTCTCCTAACAATATTCCATGCGAAGTGATAAAATGCAGTACACTGAATAGGTAAAAATTGTGGTACAATGAAGCATCTACAACATCCAAAAGTAGAGTCCAGGTTTCATTACCCATTACCAATAAATATAGAAACACAGAAAAGCACAAACATTAGTTTCTTCCTAAAACCTCCAATGATACCTATGTGCATGATACTCTCCCTCTCATTTACCCCATATAAACTACAGAATATTCCCCAACTACCTCACTTCCACCTTCCTTCAGACTAGGCTGACAGAAATCCATTCCCTTAATTAAGATCTCATTCCCCGCATCGTCATTCCCGCAGCTCGCATCGCCCTTCCAGCACACGTAGAACGGCGTGAAGGAGAGGAAAGCGTGTGTACCGACTTGCTGGACGATTTGTTGGGATGTGGTATTTGACCAGCCCTATTAGTGTCAGCATATGGGCCAGCTCGGCAACTGCAATAGCAAAGGAAAAGGAAAGGCAGAGCAGTGATGGAACAAAGGATAAGTGAGTGGGCTTACAGTCGTAACAGTCGTCCCGGTATCCTCTGTCCACGCATGCGCTAGACTCATACTCAAATCCGTCTTTACCGAGCCCTCGGCAATGAAATCCACACCTGCGGAAACACCAACCGTCATACCTCCCGTCACGGTCCACGACGCGCTATTCGAATGACTCAACGCAGTGCTGGCCTGGAAGCTCACACTCACGGTGTGGGAGCACGTACCCGGTCCAGTATCACAGCTCTGTGGATCGGTAACGATGCGTTGTTTCCCAGTTGTAACGCCAACTTTCTTAGGATCACCCACAATCTTGCAAGATGGGGTTGTTGGCGCTGGAGGTGGTGGAGGTGGTGGTGGAGGTTGGGATGGAACAGGTGGGGGCGAGGGTGCAGCAGGAGCAGATGGTTTGAAAATATTTACAATGTGGTGCCAGAAACTGCGTCGGGCGATGGCGTAGATGCCTCCATTGTAGAATTTAGAGGCAGGGATGTCGGTCGCTGGGCTCCAAGGAAGATCATCCACCTCCCTAGGTGCGGCATTCCGGACTGTGCGAGATGCGGCAGCAGTGAGAGAGAGGGGCGAGCGTTTTTCCTTTTCAGCCGGCTGGAGAATATTTGATTAAATTTGGACGATGGGAGCATAGTAACTACGAGACTTACTGCATTCGGAGTGATGAAAAGATTCGCGCCCATATGCACAGCTGCACAATCGCCATCTCCACAGCAGAAGCTGGTGATGAGACCCTCGAAATCCTCCAAAGTCGTTAGTTCACATCTCTATGTAGACTTCGTAGATACTAGAGAGGCAGAGCATGAACTCACATTCACAGCCGTATAGTAGCAACCTTCGTCCCTTGCCAGCAAAGCAACCTGCCCTGGCAAAGGTGTCAGTGTCTTCCACCCTGCAGCCTTATCGTGCTTCTGCTTCATCAAGACAAAGGTGCAAGTATCATCTGCCTTTGGGACTTTCCAGTAGACGTTGTTTGATCCGGTTCCATTAAGGGTGCCAGCAAGATTTGCTCCTTGGAAACTTAAATTCGGATACCAGTGGCCAGCCGGCCCAGCGGTCCCATTCCAATTCGCAATTGCGGTATCGATGATGAGTTCGTTGTTAGGGATCGTGGTATTCATCGAAGTCACGGAGAGTGGGTCTGTACATTTTGAATTCTTGAAAGCTTTGAAGGAGGGCGCTGCGAGAGTGAGAGCTGGGAGGAATAGGAGCGACAGGGAAGAACCTGAGATCATGATTACGGGTTGAAAGCAATTAAGAAGTATTAGGTTCAATATGCAAATGAATGGTCATTCGGATAGTTAAAAGAGAGAATGAAGTTGGTTGTCTGAAGAACTCGAGATTTTGAGGAAGCACTTGATATATCTTTATGTTAGCGCCGATCGGGCGGGAGCACAGCAATACTACTTCACGTACATTGCGGATTGCTTCGAAGGAGGTTCGGAAATGATATGGTCTCTGAAACAAGCACATGCACTAGCACGTGGGGTGACTTAACAACGGAGAATGATGAGCTACATTACTGGAGAGATCGAAGGTGTTGCGGCACAGCTAACAGGGGTGGTCAAACAACACAAGAGTGAAGCCAAATTTTGCTATTTTGGTCCTGCTGGAGGGTTTAGAAGGGAGCCCCACTCTGAAGCAGTCGCCATTAGCGCTATCCTAGATTAGCAACATATACTGGATGTTTACTGCGCCTTCTCACCTGACGTGGAACATGGTTAGGGCAGACACAATCTATTGAGTTCCTTGCTAGAATCGGGGAGATCGTTAGCAGGATGCAAATTCATGTCCTAAACTACCCTGGTAACATTCATCGTTAGGTGAGAACATATAGTAGAAGGCTGGTGCAACATATGTTCATATCGAGTAGCTGATCCACGTCAGACTGTACGCCAATTTGATCCTGGTCCGTTAACCTCAATTCAGCTGCCTCTACCCCTCCTCCTTCCTGCTGTGCCCTACCTCCATCATCTCCGATAACCAACTCGCCAAAGCTCCAAACAGAAGGTCGTATTCATCTATGAAGGCAACCAATGCGGCGAGGTATATCAATAATCTGATCCAAGTTTCTAGTCGCGTTGTTGTAGGATGGAAGAGAAGTAAAGGAGATGAAATGTGGTTGCGCCACATGCACAGATCTACAAGCGCGCCATCCCGCAACAGGATTAACCCCTGTTTCAGAGTTTCATGTCCGATGATGCTACTTCACAATCACGCCGCAAGCATAGGTGTTTTTGTTTAGAGGTTGGGGTTTTCTGTTAGTCAAAGGAATCTTGTCGAGCTGAATGAGCCAGTCATGTCACCCTCCATCGTTACCCAAATTCACGACTTTCGCCATTGCGGACAGGGGTTTGTGGATATAGTGTTTCGACAGATGAGGCACAGGAAAACATGAGGCCTCGACACCTTGCCTATGGGATTTCTGTGCGATGAAGAGAAGATGAATATTGTCAGAATGAGAGAGGGACGGAAATCACGAAGCCCATATTTAGAGAAGATATGAGTGTGCTGGCCAATTAAAGATCCTAAGCCTAGGACCCTCCCCAGTTTTAGAAAACTACCTGTGTGAAGTCCCATTCCCAAGCCAATACACGCCTATCGAGAGGCTGATTATATTACAGAATTCTTGTGTCACATTTGCTGCCAAAAAGCTTTCCTTTTCATAACGAGCCTAGGCGCCAACACTCTGAGATCCGTGAAGCAAGGAAAATGGTAGTTGGGAGTATAAAATTCTAAAGGGCGGTGAGAGGGGTATACAGCAAGCTGAAAGCAAATTAGAAGGAATAGATGCCAACTAAACTCTGGTGTAGGGTCGTCGACGTTTCGCTTAGAAATAGTTGCCCTTGGGGAATGCGCAGAAGATGCCTACGAGGGTGATCGAAAGAACCAGCGCTCCAATGATGGCTTGAAGGAAGATGGTATCCTGGATCTGGCGAAGAGCAGGTTCTTGAATCCACACCTCACGATCGAAAACCTTGCGGACGACGTTGCGTTTCTCGTACTTCGCAACCCATGGTTCGTCTTCCCAGCTATTGCTTGAGGCATGAGAGGACAGGCTGTCATACGAGTCACTCTTCATGTCGTACCCAGCGGGCTCGTCGTCAGAAGCAAACAGCTCCCATGGGCGGAGATGGCGGTGGTGCATTCCGTGAAGAACGACGCACATGCCTTTCCAGGCGGCGATAAGGGTGGAAATGCCGATGAAGAAACCAATCATAGAAAGGACACGCCAGGCGCGACTCGCACTGCTGAGAGTAATGATAATAGCAGCTATTATACCCCCAACAATTCCGCCAACACCAAGACCACGAGCGAAGATGACACGAGGCTTGTTGCCGTTGCAAATAGTCCAGCGAATGAAATTGGGATGAGCCTGGCATCGCAGAGACCATTCGACTGTAGTGATGACATTGTGGAAGGCGGATGGATGAGTGGTATTCTGAAGCGCATGAAGCAAGGCACTACGTTCCTTGGACGAGAGATTTAATTCACGAGTACCACCATCCGCGACATAGATGGAGATGATGCGGGCGATTTCTTCTCGATATGGTTGAACAGATACTGCCGGAAATGAGCTGGTTGGCCCTAAGAGAAAAAAGAAAGTCAGCAATACTAACGAGGCTTCCATTTGAGCCCCACACTCTGAAACGCACCAGAAGCACGTTGAGTGTGGTTTATCTTCCCGCCGGAAGTCAGGCTCTCATCATATGAATCCAGTGAGTTTCCATCCCTCTTGCCCTCGGCCGAGTCGCTATTTGGCGTTCGGGGCGGCGTGAAGAAAGGATTAGATTTCTCTACTTCGGCAACTCGAGGCTCGCTGACGAAGTCGGTGCCCTTGAAGATAGAGGCAGCCTCTGCGCCGAGGCGCTTGGGTCGGGTTTGAGCCTCAGACTCGACATGCTCGCCCGTCCATTCTGGTGAGAGAGCTTTCTCAGACTCTGGGACCTCGCTGAATCGTTTGCAATAGTCGCGGTACCATAGAAAGAACTGAAGATTCTCCGCTGAAAGCTCAATGTATTTGAGGTAGTTCATAAAATCCCGGACCGTGCACGGCTATTGGATGATAGGGTTGGCCAAAGCAACAATGCACAAGTGATAGGAGACTTACGGGACAAACACCCCCGGCAATGATGCGGTCAAAGGAAAGAGCTTCAGGAATTCCGTGGGACATTCCGCTACTTCCAGAGTTGACCGATTCATTGATTGACTTCTGTTTCTCTTGGCCGGAGAGAGACTCGCGGGAGGAGACGTGCGAAGGGCGACGGTAAGAGAGAGAGTAGACCATGATAGGAAAATGGGGGACAGGAAGGGAAGCACGAGCGAGAATAGAAGGAAGGAATGACAAAGGTCTCACAGTGATGAAACGAGAGTAGCGTGGTTGGGGTTTGCCGGGGAAGCTGCGCCTTAACGTGGTGGGTTGGACGAGAAGCGATGGGGACGGAGAAGAGAGGTGAATATATGTGTTTGCTGCTGGCTGATGGGTGGCGAATGGCAAGTAGAGCGAGAAGAAGCCAATGGGCAGTCTCGGAGCGCAATACAGCCACTCGCAGTAGGGGGGATATTTGACGATAGGTTTTCTAGACGCGGGCCAGTCTCCGCGTTGAGTGACAGGAAACGCTGCGTGGGCTACGGAGGCGCGAGGAAAGAGATTGCAAACGGGAAGATGGCCCCCCACATAATCAGAGGTTATATACACCTCCCTCTAAAGATACGGCACCCCTCGGCTACTGCTATCATGGCAGCCGTCTGGGGACAGCCCAGCTACAGGGGCCCTGGGCATGCTTGCCTTGCCATCTCTCCCAGATTCCCAGATCTGGTGCAGAGCGTGGATGGATATCAGGCGCCGTGGTTGCACATGGCCGCTACGCTCTGCAGGAAGTCGCCTTCAAGCAGAGGCTCCCCACCTCAACCACCGCTAGTCGGGCGAACCGGTAGCAAGAGTCTGCCAATGAAGAAGCTTCCTAAGATCGAGCGGGAGCCCTGAAGAGCAGTTGACGAGGACGGTCGCCGGCTGAGGTCCAATCCTCATCCCCGGTCTTGGCTGTGGCTTCGGGAATCTGGGCAAGCGGCAAGTCGATCATCATGATCCAGCCCGCATCGGGACTCGAGAAAACCTTGCCAGTCCCATCTGTGGTCCCATTTGTCAAAAGAAGGGGCCACCCTTCACGAGCACAATTGTACGTCATTATGACTGACGACGAAGATGCTGGCAAACAAGCCTCAGTCCCGCAGATGTTTCGGGCTGGCGGACTCAGCGGACACTCCCCTTCTCACTTTGAAGGAAGAGGAACTTCCCAGAAGAAGACTGACTGGAAAGGAAGGAATTCAGCACATTGACGCCCTTTCAGACAGCCACCATTTTCGGGCTACATGGGAAAGTGATGATTGGCATCGCCAGCCATTATGCAGGTGCAGGGTGAGGTTTGCTCAGCTGCTTCTGCATCAAGCCAATCAGACCTCACAATTTCAGATGTGCTCGTCGCTCGCCCCGCTCATTAATGATAATAGCCCGGTCTTGCATATGCCTCCGTTGCGACACCCTTTTTCCTCTTGCGTGTTGACATTTCATCTTCTTGTCATAACGAAAAACTTCCTCGCACAAGATTTCCGAACCTCAACAACAGTGCCAACCTCGAGACTCGCAACCACGTTGACAATAAAGTACTGAATAAAGAAACCGATGCCATGGATGCCACACCGTCTCAGACAATCTGACAGATTCACTCCTATGCCACATCGAGATATGTACATTTTATCGTCCAATCGGCGTTCCTTATTTACGCCCGCACTTCCGCACAACTTTCCGCACGGCACTCGATTCAGGGACACGGGACAGTATCAAGGTACATCCTCTTCCACCAATCTGGACGGGAGACGTCAGAAGCAACCTTAACGACGCCGCGATCTCGGCCTTGGCAGGATGCGCCAACAGATACCACTAAGTATCCGGGTTGACATAATGTATTAAATGCAATTTCGTCTCATAAGGAGCACTAACAAGCAATTATCTAGTGCAGTCTTGGTTGTAGCCAGGGTGCATTGCTTGACTGAACCATGACCTAAATGCGAGCCATATGAAAGATTCTGTGCAATCCAGAAACTATATTTCCATCCATGCTGCACTGCATCCGCTGTTCATCTAAGGCATGCAGAACCAACCTAGCGACTGTCTTAGCTTTGGTCTCCCTGCACATCTTGCCTCCCGAACTAGATTTCATCTCAACAACAATTCCCCTCCTATGTGGGCGCAGACCTAGACTTATCTGTGTTGCGCCTCCTCCTAACACCGCCATGCAGTTCCTTGTCTCCGCTCTCCTCGCCTTCCTTTCCTTCCAGATTTGACACTACTAACATCCAACCGTTCTTGGCTCAATATCTGGCCGAAACCCCTGTCATCCCCCATTGGATCTCACCGTCAAGTTTTGAAATTGCAGATCGCATCGGGAAGAATATGTCTGGCGCAACTCAAGCTTGCGGACCGCGCGTAGTCTTCAGTCCCTAGCCCCTTCTTTGAGTCCTTTGTGGCGTGGCTGTGAGAAATCGCCTATCGCTGGCGTGGGGAGATTGACATTCACTCAGACCTCGCATGAGGAAGCCACATCATGCTAGCTGAGACATACCTAGGTAATCATGTCACCACCTTGTCGAAATGGTGGGAAGGGGGAGCAGCGAAAGGTCTTGCAGTTTTCATCCCGCCCAAGTTCGGCTGTTAATGCGTCTTACAAAACTTCTAGTGTCTGCGGATCGCGAACCCATCCGATTTCAGGATTGGAAGTGTCATGTTAAACCCTGTTACCGTACTCTCCGTGCTCTTCCTTGCATTGAGGGTCAAGACTAGGCGTCTATATCTACCTTCTGAAGCATGAATTTCAGTTCAGACCCTTGGTCCATGCGAGAACTTGAAAGAACTTCCCCGGAGCTGTCCATAATACATGGGAGACAAAAATATGAATCCTCCAATTTAAGTCAACGTTTGTAAGACTTCGACTTCTCTTGGTAGCACTTGTCAGACAATTGCTCACCCGGGTGAGGTCCTCCTCAGGGCTTCCAACGAGGCGTAGTACTGTACGATTAGGCGATTTTGAGGCCTGTACAGGTGAGATTTTGTGTACATTTGTACGACAGGGAGGAGAAGAGGTAGGTGTACGTATTGTAACTGTTACAGCTCACGTGATCTGTACAAGTAGTATAATTTAATTAAAGTACACTGTACTCTAGTTAAAACAGCTAAGACTATAGGTCTCTAGAGACGCAAGATTAAGGTCTAATTAACTAGTTCTCCCTAGTAACAAGAGCAGATAGGACTAGATAAGGCCTGTAAGGCTGCAAGAGGCGTAGATAGATAACTCTGCAATAGAAAATAGTCTGTAATAGGCATTTTTAAGACAACAGACAGATAGATAGATTAAAACCCTTAAAAAGAGATTTAAGCGTCTACAGGCCTCCTACTCGCCAAAGCCCTTATACCCCTCCAGAACCCCTATACAAACTTCCTAAAAGAGTAAAACAATCTGTACTACGTACCGTACCTAGGGCATCATTAAACGTACGGTACGGCTCACAAACTCGGTACGTTCGTACTGAACACGTGACCGTTACGGTTCACTTTGTACAGACCGTAGTACGGCCCGTTGGAAGCCCTGGTCCTCCTGCTGTCGCCCACTGCACATGCCCCTGTCTAGCCCTAACCATGCACCCATTTCTTCTCTTTGAACCCCTCGCCCTTCATATCTGAGACGAAAACTACTACATATCAAATCTATTAGCCAATTATGTGGTCACCGCATCTGCTCTTATCGTTCCTGTAGTATTCGCGACACAGCTTCCGTAGTCACTACCAATGTAGAGTCCATATTATCATGCAATCTCCAAGAAATCATCACCAATGTTTCAGTTTTTACCTTAGGCCTCTGGAACTCATCTCCTTCTGGGAAGCTTAAAGGAAGACAAGAGTAAAACGCCAGCAGAAATGAGTTGGAAGATGGACTGAATTAGGAATTATTCCAGCTCATTGCGATAGCTTTGAGCTTATTGATGCATTTAGATCTCGGGGGCAGTCTCTTAAGACAGTCTTGTGGAGCGATCAAAGACTGAAATCCCTTTCCTCTATAATATCCCCCTCCTGCATTGTATCGATTTAATTCTTTGTTCGAGGTAGGGGTCTCTCACTAAGAAAAGAGCGCAAGCCTTCCAGGCTTACAAACCATTCAATAAAAAGTGCCTTAAGACATTTATCGCAAATCCATCTATTACATCGTAAGTTTAGTTCAGCCACATTTTTAAAAGCCTAGTTTCACTAACAAATCACGTGGCCTAAATGCGCACTGCCTTTGGCTGATCAATGGAAAGCGTAGAGCTGTCCAATTGCACTCAGGCCATCTCCAACGCCATTGACAAGGGAACCGGGAGCGGCCCACTGGTACGCATATCGGTAGATATACTTCTGGTCAGGGTGGTCCAGCCATGGGAGGACATCGTTCAAAAAGCCAATAATTTGGTCCTCAGAGCCATAGGCGCCGAACTCAGTGATCCAGATTGGACGCTTACCACCGGCCTCGTAGGCCTCCTGAGCATGTTTCTTGAAGTCGCCGGAATTGTCCGCGGCTCCATACCAGTGAATGACTACCCAGTCAATGCGGCAATCATTGCAAGCAGATAGGAAGCGTCGTAAGTAGTCAAGGCCCATAGGAGGAGCGCCATTGGTAACAGCCGGAGCGCTCAGCCGGACATTTCCGTCATACTTCGCGTAGAGAGGATGGATATACTGACGATATGCATAGACAGCGCGCCCAATGTCTTGCATACATGATCCTCCGTTGCTAAAATGAATCTGTCAGTAATAAGAAAGCTTCGACACGACTTAAGGAGTGGCCAGGGGAGCATGTCTTACGCGCAACCATCCGGCTCGTTAAAAGACAACACATGCCATGTACCCGCTTTAACAGCCTTATCGACGTTGTCGAACCAACGGCTAGTGTGATCGGAAGTGTCACTCCAGAGCATCGGAACGAACTCCCAGAAGGTCTCCGCGCCGTTCGAAATGCTGTCCCAGTTGTATGCCCAGAAGATTTGGGAACCCGAGGCCTTGAAGAGGTGGGTTAAATCGGGGTCATTATATGGAATGCCGCGCCATTTGCCGTTTTCCTCGACTTCACGTGCCTCGGTGGTGGTATTACTGGTAAGCTCATTGTGGCTCCGTGACGCCGGATCAATTAGAGGGATCGCATTTGAAAGAACAGCCAGCCCAGCGACAAGGGCCAGAACGAGAGACCTCATTTTCTGCAGATTTCAATTGCGGGAATGAGGAGTGCAGCACAAGGCTATAGAGTTGAGGAAAAAAGGGTATCTAGAAGATTTGAAGCTTTGTGGCAGAAGGAGATAAGGAGTGACTTAGAAATCGTGCAAGGAGTATTGTCCAGGTGGGAAGCGTTCAGGAAGGAGAGAGGCAGAGAAATAGTACAGATGGTAAAGGGGAGAGATCGCTGGAGGAGGAGTTTTAGAACGAAACCACATGCAAAATCGATAAGGCGGTCTGACCATGCCGTATTCGGTCTATAATGGAATATGGTTTCTAAGAGCCTACAATTCGTTCACATGAGACAAGTATTTCACCTTTAATACAATTCAGTCAAACCATGAGAAGTGCTATCACTTCATAGACTCTAATAGGGTGATTTTGTCCGGTAACGAAGAAAGTGAGGATATCTGATTTAGTGGGGAGCACAATTTAGGGCGGCCACGTTGTCCATTATCTGCTACCTCTGAAATATTATATTATTGACAGTAGGGTCTTTCCATTTAGAGGAGTTTCAATGTTTCTACGTGTAAAATATTTGAGTAGAGCGGGGGTGGGTATATAGAAGATTAAAATCCATACATCGTTATCCTCGACGAAAATTTCCCTTCCCTAACCAATCGTCCACCTGGATATGCCCCCGTACTATCCCATGCAATTCCTAAAAAAGAGTTATATCTCATGCTGTCGAGAATGCTTTTCTGTCTTCCTACACATTTAGGTGATCGAACTCGTCAGAAAGCGTCATCTCTGGCGCTCTGAAATGTCGCAAGAACTGACAATTATTAAATCCTCTATTACTTAATATAGTCATGCTACAAGCCCTCCTCTTAGATCGCCCGCCGTTAGATCTCCTTTTTGATTTCATCTTGGTTGATGTCTTCCTACTTGACGATTTCCTTGATATTCTTCTAAACAATCTGAACCCCAATCTGCCACTCTTCCCCCATTTTCACCAACACAAGCTGAAAATCTCTCTTCCAAGTTTGAAAATGGGGCTTAGAAGCTTCAATAATCCATTCTTTGCAGCCATGAGAAGCTGGAGTTGGGTCACGACACTTCAGGGCTCCCCACAGAGTGCAAGACCAAAAGCGTCTGATGCAGTATTTGCCCATTTAAGCGAGAGAGAGGCCCCAAAAATGCGAAATACATTTAGGCTGTGAGGTCCGGGCAAATTACCCTGGTACTGATCGATGACCACGTAAACTGAAGATGAGGTTGCCATGCTCGACCCAGCCATTCACAGAGGGAGCGGCCTTAAACATGTTTTATAGTGTGTAACAAACAACGGTATGAGTGACAGGAGCGCATGACGGAAGGATCATGAAGCCAATTGTTTCATCGTGCCCGCTTGTCCCTAACAAATTGTGTGCTTGAATGTTGGCATTACGGTTTGTGTCGGTAACGCGGAAATAGATAGTCAGGGTGGAGTCCGAGCTGGTGATGGCGTAGTTGATGGGAAGGCCGCAAACTCACTCCGTCGGTGTTGTTGCGGCGCTAACAAAAACAATTCCGGATGATCGACCATGGATAGGATATTGCTGCAGCCACCGCATCTGATGTTCCCAAGGAATTCCTGCTCATTATTACTGAACCTAGTCCAGCTGTGATACGAGATAGATAGTATTCCAGTGCAGGCAGGCAATGCAGACCCCAGCGGCAAGTTAGGTTTATTGAAACCATGGGGGACAAGTATATTTGATTTTGGAGTGCAAAAGACGCGTTTGCCTCTAACAGAAATCTGATTGAATAATCCCCAGTGGCTTAAACTTGCACGTTCCCCAATCTCCCCAAAGAAAAGAACTTCACCATCATAAAACCCCTTTGCGCCATTTTCTGCTCAACATGAATCTGACGCGAAAATTGCCTGTGCACTATTAGGATCTATACTTAGCATACCCAACATCAAATTGGCTATTCACTTAGCGTGTTTGAGTGTATTGCTTAGACATCGTGGCAGTAGGGCATGCCATCGGGCTCGCTCTTGCAAGTATTGCTTCCGCAAGTCGCAGCAGTGTGCCAACCGTAAATGTTGCAGACCTCAATGCCGGCAGCCCAATAGTCGCAGCGGTACTCGCCAGGCTGGCAGGTAGCGGACGGAGCCGGTGCCGGTGCAGAAACGGCCAGGCCGAGGAATAGGATAGTGGCGGCCATGATTTTGGAAAACATTTTGTTGTACGTACGAATGGAGACCTGAAATCAAAGTTAATTAAGGGGAATTCGGGAACAGGCGTGGCACTACCGTTTGTAGGATTTTGAATATCGAAACCGATGGAGATGAGGATGGCAGGAGGAAACGATCAGTTTAAGAAGAGGTGGTAGAACCAACGCATGTTCTTCGGTGTAATATCCCTTCTTATACTAGCTGCTAGCTAACGCAAACCAGGTGATTATCCAGCCTCACTCAACAAGATTCGTTCGAGGTTTTATCAACTCCGGTTTGCAGCCCCAGTTCAACTGTACTGAATACACAAGAACTCATGAACGATTATCTGTTTATGAATAACAAAATTGAGGATTCTGGAAGGATTTTAACTCCGAGAGTTGTAGAGCCTTAGCCTACCAAATCTGGAAGAGACATTGGGAATCGGACATCGGACCACTGCAATGTGGAGACCAAAAATTGTTCCCGGCCACCGTATTTGATTCCAATAAGCTTTACCATGGTAATAAATCTAGCGAACCTGAATTGGCCTCAGCAGAGTTCACAACGCCCAGCTTGGAGATCATTAAAAGTGAGTCACGTGAAGGGCCATTCCATTCATTCGTGGTCAGGACTTTGTACAACCCGACTAGACTATAAATTTACATTCACGTTACGAGTTAGTTATCTGCAATATTGATACCCCCGATCAGAATAACCCTCACGCCTGATCTAGATCCATCATGGAAGGAGCGGAATGCCGTCGACCTTGATAGGTAGGCCCGATACCCCTCCCGTCTCCAAAGTTTGTCGTCCGTCTGCCATTAGCCTTACCACTCTCAATTCCCCTAACTACTTCCGCTTTTATGATCATCTGCTGAGTCTCCTCGACATTCCAGGGCTCTTCCTCAAGCTCATTAGGCTGCTCCACAACAAGCTGCCATACATGCTTCTGCACACGCCTCCGCACACACCCCATCTCGTCTCTATATGCGCCTAAACCTCGAAATAGCCCTCAATCACTTTTTCTATAAAGTGAAATTCGTGTTTGTATCCAATTTTCGTCCTTGTCTACTTTCTTGATCGTCGCCTCTCGGATTATGTCCTCAGCTCCATCCGCCTTTGTGCGCGCCCAATGCGCATCTTTCTCCTCTATGAAGGCCCGAGTAATTGTTTTGTTGGGGGCGACTGGGTGGCCAGAGTGGGGTTTTGGTGGGAGACAGACTATCGACCGCGGAACGAAGAACCCGTCTTCATCGACGGGCTGCTTCGTAGTCATGGTACCCATTTTCGAGCCAACGACTCCAACTGACCCGACTGAGTGGGAACGCGCTGTACGGCGATTTCGGAATGACTAACTCCATTCCCTCGCTTCCGACAGTAACCACCGCACTGGATAGCTTCTGTATGTCGTCGTAGTAGTATCCCACTAGTCCAGCAGCCTCGTTGTGGCTACGGTGAGTCAGAGAGAAATTCTTGCGGTTTCTTCGGCGGCTTCAGGAGTGGTATAGATCCCAAAAGTAGTTTATGTGGGGCTGTGGTGTAAGATGTCGTAGAAAGGCGGGCAGAAACCTTGGATGTGCAATTGCGTGAACAGATAGAGCGCAGCTAGGTTCGGGGGTTAGAGCTCGCATGTTGGTGAGCAAATTGTATGGCGAAGACTGACTAAAATTCGATGGAGCATAAGGAACCCTGGTTTAGAACCCTCATATAAGCATTTCTTCCGTCTTCTAGAAGGCATGGCATTCTTTGAAAGTTTATCGTTTGCGGGATTGTAGGTGAGACACTGTGCTTGATAAGAAAGCAGGAAGCAACTGGTGGAAGAAGCTGTTCTTAAAGCTCGAACAAGCACGTTCACTTGTTTGGAAGTTAGACAATGAAAGTACACTCGCAAACGGAAGCTTAAAAACAAATTTGCCGGCTCGCAGGGCTTTTCAATAACGTCGTCTTTCAAATATTACACTATATTCGTCCTTTACCCGCTTCTATAATCGTTCTTATTAACCAAATAAATTAGAGGAGTCAAATGAGACACTTGGAACCTTTTCGCATTAAACCATTGGCATTGGTCATCTATATTTGATCACAGCCCATATCATCAATGCAATTCTCTCTCAGAAAATCTGTATTTCCTGTCCTCACCATCTCCAGAACCTCCCCATCCGCAAATTCCTCAATCATAATATAACATACGAAATCGCGCCCTCTCTTGATTATCATATTGATCTTCATCAGAACCAACCCCTCATGAAAGGTCACATTTCTCTGATAAGGCACCTCCCTACCTAGCAGGGCTTCTAAAGAGGCGTCGTACTGTACGATTGGGCGATTTTGAGGCCTGTACAAGTGAGATTTTGTGTACGTTCGTACAGCAGAGAGGAGAAGATGTAGGTGTGCACATTGTAACTGTTACAGCTCACATAATCTGTACAAGTAGTACAATTTAATTCAATTAACTGTACTCTAGTTTAAACAGCTAAAATTATAAGTCTTTAGAGGCGCAGAACTAAGGTCTAATTAACTGCCAGATAACTAATTCTTCTCTAGATGCCTCCTATAGGTGCTGCAGTAGCTGTAAACTAGTAGATAAGAGCTCTTTATTAGCGTTAACCTTATGCTCCCCTAGTAGGCGTTAAATAATATAGTTATAGTTTCCTACTGCTGCAGTCGATAATACTAGTATATAATTAGCTAGATAAGGCCTGTATAGTAAGAAGCGTAGATAGATAACTCTATAATAAAAAATAGTTAGTATTAGGCATTATTAAGACAGCAGACAGTAGATAGGATAGATTAAAAAGAGATTTAAGCGTTTGCTTAAAACTTTTAGTTAATTAGAACTTTAGAAACCCCCCTATACGCTCCCTGCAGGCCTGCTACTCACTAACCCTTCTACTCCTCTAGAATCCCTATATAAACTTCCTAAAAGAGTAATATAATCTGTACTATGTACTGTACCTAGAGCATCATTAAGCTTACAGTGCGGCTCACGAACTCAGTACGTTTGTACTGAACACGTGACCGTTATGCCCCGTAGTAAAGCCGTTGGAACCCCTGCTACCTAATCGGGATCGAAAAATCCTCGCAAAAAAAAAATAAGAGGTGTTCGTGCTCTTAATCTTCGCCACCTTAGCGAGAATAACGAGGTAAGAGGCACCGGGGAACCCATTGAGCTCTTGCTCAGGGAGGAAGTAGACCACCTTTGCCAATGTCATAGACCATGGCGGATTCCGAGCAGGACTCTAGAGTGGTGTTTTGGAGATTCACTTTGTACCACTCTACACCACGGTTCTTAACCACAAAAGCAGCGTCGCAGATGGCCCGGTTATTTATGAACTCGCTAAATGCTCTTCAACCGGGACGGGTGGCTGGGGAAGGTGGCTTTCCTATTATAGCCCACGCCGCCCACATGTTGATAACAGCTGTGGCTGTATTCAAAAATTTGAGATTACTCGTAACCGGATCTGTTCAATTTTGAACGGTGGCAGTGAGTTAAATTCCTTTGACAGTCTTCCCAAAGATGAGGGTTATGTTGGCGATGCAGTCTTGGATATTTGGTTCAGTCACAGAGTCAGTAAAACATAGGATCATCTTCGGGACGTCAGTATCGGGAACAAACTAAAGGGGAAAGTTCAGCGACGGAAACGTCTTGGAGCAGACCAGATGTGTACTAACTCTTGGCATGTTTGATCCAATTGTATGCCTCGCCGGAAAAGACGCATGCAGTATATGTTTAGCACCTAGAGGTATAACCCTTTCTGCGATATCATGCGATAGCTGGGGTGTTGGCTACAGCACCTGTGACCTTCGGCCACGCACGCATTACATTAGAGCACAGATACTAACGCATATGTACCCGAAACAGCTGCTGGTCTTCGCATTGAAGAACTAGTGTCTAACTTTGTGGCATAGTCTAAGCAGCCATATGCAGCAATCAAGCACATGCCCCAGATGAGGATGTAGAATAGGCTAGGCATCCATCTCCTCCCAGATTAAGGGATGGTGCTCATCTTTCGGCTCCCAAGGGTTGGCATCCGAAAGCAAACTGTACCAGTTCTGCTTCCAAAAAGAAAAAAAAAGTATCCGAGGTCTATAATTTGTTGAGTCGAGGGCGCGGTGCCATTTGCTGTAGGAGTAATATATTCTCAGGCTTACTTGCCACTCGACATCTGAAGTCCTTTGACATTGTACAAGTCTTTGAATGTGACACGATAATGGATCTCCAGTGGACAACGCTCTAAAATGTTGATGCAAGGAATATATAAGTTTGCAGCCACGTATCAAAAGGTTGGCTCAACAGAATGATGAAAGACAAAACGAACATTCGAGGATTATGGGATGTGTGTTGCTTCCTCCCACAGTGTGCATATCTGAGCACAGTATGCAATAGCGTGAAAATATGAACTCCACCCTCAACACACATTTCTACGAGCAATAATAAAACGCGTCTGCCAAATAATGTACAAATATCAAAAAAAAGGTTCTTCTTATATGAAATTTAATCTCGTCCTAGCCCACTCCTTGCTCAATGCTTGGTTTATCTAAACGGTTAGACGGCATAGCATTCACGACACAGCCACACGCCAGGTAACCTCATCAACTTAATCTCAACCACCTCTCAGCTCATCCTCCAAATTAAATCTCACCTTCAAGACCTTTCATATTCCTACATAACCTCTCCAAAGTGAAACCCTCCTTGCACTCGCATCGCCCTCAAATCCTGCTCAATGGGCCGGATTAGAAGGAGGTGGGGTGTAAGGAGATCTGCTTGGTGAGTTAAAAAGGGGTGGAATTATAAACGGCCTTAAGTTGATTAGGTTTATGGGGCAGAGAAGCTGGTTTGCTTTAGCATTGGAACAGCGCTACTAGTTCAAGTACCTTAATACCCTGTAGTAACGATACGTTGATTGGTTGGCTTAGAGGGAATCGGTGTTTTCAACGTCCAGCCTGCTAAACCCAATATGAACCCGCAAGCAACTAAACTAAGCGTAGAAAAGCAGTTATCGCTTTAGTGGCCACATCTGCCACCTCTGTATTAGGTTTCGTCGCGGGTAATTTAAGTACGATGGCTTTTAGGAACGATGTAATAGACCCACATTGGTATGGTCAAAGAATACTGGATTCCGTACGCGAAAACTGCGAGGATCATGCGGATGATGAATCAAGCGTGCTAGTCTTCTTAAGGAGTCTTAGTCTGATTCAACTACTGCGATACCTCAAGCAGATGGGAGTCGGTGGGTCCTGACTGGAGAGTGAACGTATCTTGAAGCGCTGGGTTGAGGACATGCTGCTGTGCCTACATAGACCTTGAGTATCACCCCTAGGCCCCTCTCAAAATACTGTAAGTTACTCCTTTGCTTAGGGGAATGTTCCATGCCTCATGTACTTAAAACAAAACCTACAGCAGCGAGGTTACTGTCACGCAAGAACCTAATGGCACAGAGACCACAGGATCCTTCCCATGCCTCCAGCTCCAGGACTATCACCGCCAAACCCCTCCCGAGCCACGTATAATACTCCCGAACGCCTGCACACGATCCTGCCACAAACGAATCTATATCGTCTCCGAAACGCGCGCAAAACATGACACAAAACAATACGGGCTATCAACCTCGCCCCGTTACCACAATAACGGCGCCACCAATTCACCCATCACCCATAGGATAAGGCGCTCTTCCTGCACTTCGAGGCTCCCTAATTAGCATGGGCACAGATGGTGGCGGCTTGCTTAGGTTTGTTGTTGCATGCAGCCAAAGGTCAATCTCCTCCCAGGCTCTCAAGCACAGTAGAAGAATATATATACGAAAATAAATCCACGCGCATTACTTGTTTCCTCAATGATCATCTAATTTTTCAACACAATCCTTGCAGTGTGGAATGGCGTCTATGCCTTGAAACAGTCTTCCTCGGCAATTCCTGGTGGCGGCCGAGGTGCTGGATATTTTGACAGAAACACCAGGGGCTATGGACCGTTCAGTAATGATATGGCCAGTATGCGTATCCGGATGGAAGCTGCGCCTATGCTCTAGAATAGCCAGCTAAAGTCCCCAGCAAAAGTCAAATTAGGTCTGCTCCTTGACGACGGTATTGTTCATTCGTCTCTGCCCGTTCAGGCTATCGATGTGGTGGAAGTGGATTGCCAGAAATGCGTCGTCGCGCACCCGAGATCACCTTCCAAATCTATACTCGAGAAGTCTGGAGAACCTCTTGCGCCTTGAGTTTTCGCGGGCTAGTCCAAAATGCCTTTGACACCGAAAAATATCTGACTAAAATCACCGCGCACAAAAAGCAATTCGAATAGAGTATCTGCATGCGTAGCAAGACCTTAGATTGGGTGCACTCACCACAGCACATTCACCTCAACCAGTACCTCTGCACGGAGAATGCATGGAATCGTGTGTGACCCATTAGCGCTTTTTTAGACATGAACTCATCTACTCCTGGCATATATGCGATCACTGCAATATATGATCTCTTGGAATATCTACACTATATTCTTCCTGGCAATTAAGTTGACCTCGATATAGACGTTGTAAGGCAGGAATGGAACAATCAATAACCGTATCATTTCCACCTATATTCCCTACTGATTGAGGCGATAAGCAGATGTCAAGGCTTTGTAGGTGGCGCCTCTAGGTGGTTGGCACATCAATGAGGTCAAACCTTCCGGATACAGGACTGGAGATATTCGATAACGTGCCTCCTAGTCTACAGACTGCTTACTTTCCGTTCCAAGAAGCGTTTCGTCTTTCCGTTTCCGAAATTAATTGATTCCGTAGGGGACTTATGAATGTTTCTACCTCACTTTAGATCACACATCGGTCCCCCATATCGGTCTGTTTGCTCGCAGTAGTTCTGATCTTGACATGACCCCAACCACTTTAGGTTCAGCCTTTGCTTTACAACGCTCGCTTTCCCTATCTCCCCGAATCCTGCACTTTTTGCATTGACGTCCGGAAACACTGTGAATGTGGTTTGCACAGCAAGCGAATCGCCCTGGACCGTCATCGCCCCACAACCTGACCACAATGCCCGAGAGGAATTTCTGGATATTAGTTCAAAGGCATCGGTCTCAAGAGGCCCGGAAGCAATGGCTTGGGTGAAATTTGTCTAATATAGCATATCAGTCAGTATACTAGTACTTCTCTTCTCTGATGTAGGCTGCCTCACCGGAGTTGGTTGATTCTTCCACACAGCCACCGTATCCACTGACATCCGAACCCCTTTGTCCAAACGAACAGCACCCTTCGTCGTAACGCTTTCGACCGCCACCTTATCTTCTGCAGGCTCCCAAGCAAACTCGATGTTCACGAAGCATTGTTGTTTGCTTTGGGGTACTACAATCCTCAGCCCAGATGCAGCGAGGCTTGTACCGCTTTTGGAGGTATCGTACAAAACTTCAATAGCGGAGGAATTATTTACTACCACGGCGGAGACATTTGCCGCGCAGTGGTACACCCGAGTAGCGATGATTTTGATAGCTTTCTGAGCGAGCACTGGATCTGCAGGAAATAGGATAGTTACGCACAGAAGGATAACGAAAAATCGAAACATGTTTAGGTTTCTGTACGCGTAACTCTTTTCGTGCCAGTAGTAACGCGATGGCGCGATATTTATATAAATATTTTCGCCTGCATGGAACACATGACAAACTCGCTAACTAGACCTCTAGCTCCCATGGATGCTGTATATACTTTCTCGAAACTCCCTAGGCGTAATCATACTTCCTTCTTCACGACAGCTAGTCAAAGGAATGAGTTTCAACATCACAACGTCAGTTGCCAACTTGACTCCTGCCCGGCCGAGATAATTTTTTTATCAGAAGCAGACTTGGATGGGGTATGCTCAGTTCCGTCCCGTTTAGAGGCCATTCGATGTAATGCCCCACTCTTCTGAAATCAAAAGGACAGAGCACTACTTTGCAGTCGGGTTAATCGGCTCTGCCTCTTCGCCATTGGCTAGAAGCAGGCCTCACGTGCCCTGACCAGTTTAGGCTAGATTGCTGATTAAGCAGACCCGCAATCCAGACAACCAACCTTCTAACCCTTGAATACATCTTCAGAGCTCGCTCTCATCTTTCCTAACAACGCTTCGGAGATTCATCGCCGCTTTTCGGCGTGGCTTCAGGGCTAACTTATTTCCTCTACAAATTCTTAGGTTTAATTCGAGCTCCCATGTCGTCTTAACCTTCATCATTTTTTGAGCCCCACGAGCCCTTACAGTCACGTTTCCTGCATATTCTCGCGTAAGAAAGCCCTGTGGACCCTCTCTCCCATGCCACACAGCATCCCGGATTTTCATTGAAGTGCAATTAAAATTGTGGGTCGTGCAGTGGAGGGCAATCAAAACGGTGATTTGATATGCATTCAGCCAACTAGGCGCCACGGATTCCATTCACTTTCGGCTAATATATATCCAACCATTTTCTGGGTAATCATGTAAGGTTGTATATGTAAGATGTGGCTTAAAGAACAACGTCCCTCACCTAACTTCCCCAAGTTTTAGTCAAGGCAACCGCTCCACATCCTGTCGATGTTTCATAGTCGATAACATCACTATTGAACGTCCGCGACTTAGGTCCCCAAATTATAAGGTCTCCCTCTTCTACCTCCAATTAGCGTTTCACATATTGTACAGGACGGGAAAGCATCTGGAGTGCAGAAACCCTCACTTGCTACAACACGCTACCCAAGCCCAGAATACGAACTGTCGTAAGAAAAAATACTTCGAAGTGTAGGTCCCAAGTCCTCATCGCCAGGTGTATGCCATCCTTGAGTGAATTTCGAAGTCCGACTGACACCAAGAGTGGTTATTCATCTACTCCCGCTCCACAAGAGGACTCGATCTGATATTATATGTCTCTTTCCAACACTATTATCATTTTCATAGACATCTCATCTAACCTTTGCTGTCAGTATCCAAGTTCCCGTACTTAGGGCAGCCATGTGAGCCATTTCCGTGTCGTCCTTCGCCACATTGAAGCCAAAATGCTCGCTACACCAGTTTCAGGGTCAGCCTCGTCATCTCGCGTTATCTGCACCTCAGACTCGAACCAGAAGCCCGGGAGATCCACCATCCGAGAGCTTGTCTGCATTTTTTCATATCTCTTTAGAATGCGACTGCCTATTTAGATCAGTAGGAGACAAGCCATTTAAGCTTCAGGGCCCCAACCTCATCCATGCGTTCTGTTATCATGCAGACCACTTGCTTCTGGGCCTGGAAACCTTCAGATTTATAAGACCATAGCAACGCTCGGCGCTACCAAACTTTGCTATGTAGCTGAAAACTTGGTACGCGTCTTCTGCACAACACCTGCGAGAGTATACCGACTAGTTTTTCGAGACCTGCATAAGGAAATCAGTCATGACCAGTCAAGGTGATGTGACAGGCCAAGATGCACATCAGGCGCCGTCTCAGAACGGATCCGGTATCTTGGGAGCCAAGTCAAGTCCTATTATTTCCCGATCAGGGCTGTGCGAACCTATCGGACAGCCGGGGGTCTAGAGGATCTCAAATTGATTTTGATGCCCGTAAAGTAATTACCTTGAATCCCAGCATACCTACCCTGGCCACAAGCCACGGAAATGACGGTCTTCTAAGTACCACCCGCGGAAGTTTCTACCGTTATTGCTTTGGTGGAGAAGCTCAACCTACGCACGCCGTGGGCTAGATCAACATCGGTACCTTCTAGAATTGAGGCATCATGTTTCCTATAGGCCAAGAGAATGCCATTGTTCTTATCAGCAGTATGTCTCTTGGAGGCCTTCGGCAGTTAAGGCCGCGCGGGCAATCAAGCTCCACCAAAGACAAACGTCATAAAAGGCAAGGCAGTCCATAGTTTGCTGTACCTCGTGCTCTGTGTCCTCGCTGTTAATACCACTACCCCTCATACCACTTTACTCCTGGAACGCTAAGATGCTTTGGAGTTCTTTCATTGCTTTTGCGCTCTTCGCGCCCAGCCATGCGCTGATTCGGTTTGGATGCTCCCAGCTCGTCGTCGACCGTCTCGATCCTCTAGTCAACCCTGGCCTGGCCCCATCCCCACATCTACACCAGATCATTGGTGGGGTATGTTCCATCTCTTCAAAAACGTTTCACACAGACTAATGGCTTAAGAACTCCTTCAATACCTCTATGCTACCAGAGAACCACGACCCCCCGACGCTGTCCACGTGCACGACCTGCCAGCCCTCAGATGATTTCTCCAACTACTGGACAGCTGCTTTGTACTTTCGTGCTAAGAATGGAACGTTCAAGCGGGTTCCCCAGAAGGGCAATTCTGGCTTCGAGGGCTCGAACGGCGGCATGACTGTGTACTATATGCAGAACCAGCTTGCAGACTATGCTCAGAAGGCGAAGGTCACAGCCTTCAAGCCAGTGAGTGCAACCAGCGTTCTAAATGCGATATGCTTTCACCGCAGTATAGACTAACTGCCATCAGGGTTTCCGTATGCTGATCGGTAACCCAATGGCTAATACTAAGGCCGATGCCAACAAGTATCCCCAGCTTACCTACACTTGCTTGCAGGATATGGGCACACGTTATCCCGAGACTAAGAACTTCCCAACTAAGCCCTGCCCTGCCGGTATCATGACCAATGTCCGCTTCCCAACGTGAGTCATTTATGCAAGGTAAAATTTTGAATAGTACACTTACCTTCGCAGATGCTGGGATGGCAAAAACCTAGACAGTCCCGACCACATTTCCCATATGAGGCGAGTCCTTCTCACATCTGCAAGTGTCACTCTGACCTAGAATAGCTACCCTGCCAGCGGTAATTTTGAATCCCAAGGCCCATGCCCATCAACCCATCCCGTTCGCATGCCTCAACTTATGTATGAGGTCATCTTCGAGACCAAAGCCTTCAACAATAAAGAAGACTGGCCAACGGATGGCAGCCAGCCCTTTGTCTGGTCCTTCGGTGACGGGTGAATTTCTCATACTGGCCACCGGAGGATTGAAAATGCTAACTCGCGGACTTAGCACTGGCTACGGTAGCCACGGCGACTACGTTTTCGGCTGGAAGGACGACTCCCTCCAGAAAATCATGGATGAGGCATGCTACGTCAACTGCAAGTCCATGAAGACGCAGACTATGGCCGCGATGAATGCCTGCGCAGTGAAGAATCGCGTTAATGAGGATATTGGTGACCGCGACTGTTTGTCTCTCACGTTCACCTCATTCTTTGGAACATTTGACTAATGCACTCGCTTAGGGATTCCGGAAATCCCGGGCGCACCTGCGCTCCACCTGAAGGCCGCCGATGGCACTGTCTGAATACCTTGCGTCCAATTCTCGTCATAGTGAGTTATCACTGAAGGATTTAGAATGTATTAAAGCGCTCTCATTTCCCCTGATTGTTCTAGAAATAAAGAATACGGAGAATCAATTCGAGAATTTTTACCAGTAAGCGCAGAAGACGTTAGCCAATTCCACAGTATTACTCTCTTCATTGCGATGAATTCTCACCAACTCCGCCCATAATTGCAAGAACGGCTGTTTTTCTCCGGTCATTGCCAATCTAGGTATTTAATTTCTCCCCGCACACCCGTGTTCCAACTCGAGGCTACGCAGGCCCCACATGTAATATCAATAGATTCCCTCCACACACACACACACACATTCGTCCCAACAAATTCCAGACACCTCACCAAGAACTTGAATTAACGTCAATCCTCTGGTCGCGAAACGCACGGTGTAGCGAAACAGATCTGCCTTCAGAATCTCTCATATTCTTTACCGGCCAACATATAGAGCTATAATTGAAGTCCATTATTCTATATCTCCCTCATAGGCTAGTTCCTGACGAAGGAACTCATTGTGGTCGTCGTGCTATCTATCGATCCGTTGACGCCGGTTTTCGCCTCTTCAGCAATCCACCCTTGTCCAGTCGTGGTCAAAAAGGTCAGGTGTAATTTCGGGGGCTGGACACTTTTGGCACTAGCTCCTTCCCTCGTCCGCAGGCATCTTGCACTCGGTCTCGTCCTTACCTTGCAAAGCCTTCAACAAGCACTTCGCACATACCGCTAACTCCTTTTGCACCTCGGCCTTGCGCAGAAAATCCGCCGTGCGCAACTTTACCAACTCTAGTGTATCAAAATACTTCTCCTTCCCTTTCCAACTAGTCTTCCATTCTCCCAAGCTCCTCACACCCATCGCAATAGGATTGAGCCGAAAATAATCTTGCTGACTCCTATCAATCACGCCCTCCACCATCCTCGCCGTGGCCTCTGTATCCATCACCAGAGATGCTAGCGTATTTAAGTATGCCGCGATCCCTAGCACATCGAAACCCGACTTTCGCGGTAGGCGAGATATGGACCCGCCACTGCCGATGCTGACGAAAATCATTTCTCTGTGTTGTGTGTGCTCTAGTACCTCCCTAAAGGCTGTAAGGGATGGGTTGTTAGCTGATATTGCGCCATCTATGAAAGTTTTGTCCTTGTAGGGCATGGGCGGGAAGTAAAAGGGTGCGGCTGAGGTTGCCCAAGCAGCTTCCCAGACTTTGAGGGTGTCGGTATCGAAGGATCCCTCGTCTGGGGTGGAGTATGACCGGAGTAAGTATGCCTTATTCGTAGTTGTGTCGAATGTTGTCACGCCCCTGTATCTGTTAGCACGACTGAATAGCGTGGGTTAGGAGATCGTACACTTTGGTTTTTGTGTCTGATGAACGGAAGATGTCTCGGCGCCATCGGTCATGAGGAGGGCTTGGATCGAAGTCGCCGACTAGGAGACGTGTGGCGTGGACCAAGTTTTTTTCACTGTATCGGGTTCGAGTAATTCCGACAAATAAGGATCGCTTGGGAGAGCTGAAGATGCGGTCGGCGTATTGGATGTAGTTACTGATGGCGGATTCGACCGTCATACCGAGGCGTCCCAGCATGATGGCGATGAGTCTATTTTCACAACGTTAGGTTAAACTCTTAGCGCTTGGTAAATGGTGATCTCACCCGCCGCTACTTGATCCATACATGTAGTCGAAAACGTCGGTCGGCCTCAGTGGCTCCGTAGAGTTCTTTGCTGATGCTATTTAGTGATTCAGCTACATGATATCGCCCAAAATTTGGAGGATACACTACCTCCCTGGGATCGCAGTTCGTTTAAATGTCTCATTAGGTCCTTTAAAATGAGGAGACTGGCAAAGCTTCGCACGCCACCGCCGTCTGTGCTTGCATTTAGCAGACCTTGGTAAAGCTCCTCGACAGGAACCACTTACCTAGAGATAGCACACGCGCACGCCTGCTTTTTGGTCTGTTACGATTGGATTTTTCCTGGTATGACTTGACTAGCTTCTGAAGTGCGAGGACAACTTTAGGCCCTTCAGTCAGAATGCTCGAGCTTGTTTCCGCAATGCTGTCTTTCCATTCAGGGAATTTTTGTATGAGCAGAGGTCCAATTGATCTTGGTCTAATAGAGCAGTCCTCAGATCAGTAGAGAAAATGCATGGAATAGTGTGTAACATACGTGATCGCAATAAAGTTAGCGTTGAGTTCTGCAAGCAGATGGATTAACCTCGTGAATGATTGGTGGGCGTTTTCGAGCACATCGGGAATCGGTTCAGCGTTCACATTCTCAGAACCAAAAATCTCCGGCCGATCATATTGGAAAATATCCATCGACCAAACTCTAAATCGTGTAAGGCAGTTTTCAATAGTTTCTTCCAGATATTGGACATCCTGGAGTGTAGCGCGGCGTTCACGTAGCGCCTCCAACACGGTCCGTAAGAGCGCCAATGTCTTCCTGAGTTGCGCGTGTATTTGAACTCTCGGTACAGCTTCCGACCTTTGCTCGTCATTCTTTCCGTCGGCTTTTGCGTATTCTATATTCGGCAACGGCGGCACCATTTCGACCGCGTCCGCGGTTGGAATTGGTGGGGAGGTCTCGGAGGTTGCAGGGATTGGCGGTTCTATCGGCGGTGCGGAAGCCCTTCCTTCGATCTGAGAAGCGCGTTCCTCTGGATCTGAAGCATTTCTGGCATCGGTATCGAGTGAGGAGCGCCCGCCTGATGGAGAGGCTCGCGGGGTGTCTGGCCCCGTCGAGGGAAACGTAGCTGAAGGGTTTGTCTCCTCTCTCTCGGTCACGGTTGCGATGCTATGAACATTTGTCGCCATGATCGCGCTGACTTTTCGCAAGTCGATACAATACGATGCTGAACAGGATATCTACAGGTGCTCAATTCAGAATCCTAGGACGTCGGGAGGGTGCTGGCCTTCAGCGGTACCCTATACAACGATGGCGAAGGTCCGCAATCGCAACGGGGTTAGTGAGGGCGAGGGCAAGGGATTGCTCGAGATGTCTTTGCTGGTATGAATGCCCCACGTAATGAAGGTATGTATTATGCAGGAGCTACAAGGACGAACGTACCGAAGGCGTAGTAGACTACAGCTGGTCATTAGGAAGGCTGAGGCTCTTCGGTAAGTGGAATGTGCCTCTAAAGTTCAGCCTCATCTGCTCAGCGCGCTTCTGCTAGAAACGATTGCTTCCAGGACTGACCGCAACACAAGCATCGAACGAGCCACGATCCCTCACACCTTCGAACTTATGCATCTTCCCATCCTCCTGCTACGACGACCGTCCTGCTCGTAGAATAATCAAGGGGGCTCAACCGTGAGCTGCCTCCGGAGTACACGTACAGATACCCAGAAGCACCTTAGAGCTGAATCGACACATAAGTGGGGAACACATAGCCTACTAAAACGCCTCAAGCGTAGACTTACGAAGCTTATTTCGAACATGTTTGAGATTCCAGCGGCCGCTACAGTGTGTATAATCGTTGTCAACGCAATAGGCTGGTATGGCATGTTGAAAACTGGTATACAAATCGTTCACGACGATTGGAAATTGAAGGATTCGTATAAAAGGGACCTCGATATTGACTGGACGAACTTTGTCAATCAAGTGAAAGAACTAGAACAATGGAAAAAGGACTGGATGATAACCGATAAGACCACCCCAGATGCATGTCTCATCTATATGTGGGGCAAATCTGAGTTTGATGACATCAAAAAGGGATTGAAGAGCCTCCGTAGTCTAGGGAAGGATGTTCATAAAGAATTCGCTAAATTTTTTGATCTCAAGAAAGACAAGTGGGACCTGAAGTCGGATTCCAAGAAAGAGAAGAAGGCTAGGTACATATACAAGAAGCGCAAATATCTTGGGGATCTCGCTTCAGCATTTCAAAAAGTTCTTAAGAACTTGAAGGACGCATCGGCACGGGGTTGGAAGGAAGAAAGCAAGAAGTTCTTTTCTTACGGTAATACTGATGAGGACCGCAAGTATCACACGAGAAACGCCTATCATCTCTTGAGAGTGGCAAAGAATTCTGCACAAGAATTCAAGACACTTTGCTCATTGATGCCTTCGGCTAAAGGATTCTGTGTGGAGTTAGACCTGGATATGTTCAATGCTTGCGGGAAAGCAATGACACAAGAAACCGAAGTAACCCAAATTGATGCAATGGAGGCCGCAGGTCATCTGAAGTTGGAGCTCATTTGTGGGAAACGCCGAGACGGACAGCATCTTGAATCTTTAACACGCATTCGAGTGGAAGCAGTAAACCCGCCTACCTACCATGGTCCCCTACAAGAGGCCTTGAAAGCTGTCTTAAAGACACCTGATTCCACGGCTTACTACTTCGGAAGTATCGGAACACAATCGACTTTCTTTAGTCTCAATAAAATTGCGTACGAACCAGACTCACCCTCGCTGCGACTGGACCCTGCAGAGCCGCGAAGTACGTTAAATTCCTTGCTCGCTAGCCAAATGTCTCCATACAACCGGACCGACAAGCGAACGAATGTCCTACTAGGCAACTTCTCAGTATTCAGGCTATGCTACGAGCTCAGTCAGACATGTCTCCTCTTCCTCCGGTCGAATAAATTCGCGGACATGTGCGGCTGCCAAATACAGTGCGGGCGGCAGGCATACGAACCCGGCCACCTCAGCCCTCGCGACTGGTATGAATACGGTATTGATCTCGTCTGGAGCGCGGGCCACATGCGGGATAATCTTACCGGTATTTCGTGGTGCGATTACTATAGTAGTGATGGAGACACTATCACGAGATCTATACGGCGTCTGGGTATCCTTCTTCTCGAAGCTATATTGAGTACTCGCGTCAAGCTTGTCATGACGGATACAGGTACACCCAGAGCTATCACTGCCGTATTATTACGAACGCAGAACCCATTTACGCAACCTCTTCCTCTAGACGATGTACTAGTGCTTGTGCGCAAAATCATCGATACAAATACCTTTGGTGAAGTGGTGAAAGTTTGCCTTACAAGGACATTTCCAGGGGCACCAACGGACCAAGATTGGGAGCGAATCTTCCAGGATCTCTATCTCGACATCGTCAAACCGTATGTATACTGTTCGAGACATCATGAACGTCGTACTAATATCCGGATTCAGGCTCAGAGAAATCCACCAAATTCATCTCGACCAAGCAGCGTTCCGCCGTCCCGCTTAGTACTTCTTTAGCTAAGGATGTAGATGATCCTTCTTTGAAGATAGCAGATTACCATCTTATGCAAGCATTTTGGTGTCGGAACCGTAGCATTAGCTACACATTATACCACGGGAGCACTTCGGTATCGTGATAGCACTTCAATTGAACACGTTTATATGTACTAAATCGCTTCAACCTGTGTGGTGATACATTTATTAAAATGAACAATCCGCTGATCGTAGCCTATTTTTTTTTTAGCTAGAAAGCTATAAAGATCATCAAGCGTAAAGCTCGACCAAGATTATAGAATAACTAACATCCCTCACTACGTAGCGAGAACCACACCGTAGAGAGATGAGTTAGCTACTCCAGCATCTTAAGTCTTTCCTACGCGAGCCTATAAGATACCGCCAGTATGCTAACATTCTTTAGCCATTTTTATACCTGGGACCAGTTTGCAATGACAAGATATACAATAGCGTAGGCTATGCTATGGATCGATCCGTCAAGGCCTCAAGATCCACTTAAATCGCATTACCCCTGTTTAATGACGATTATTAACAGGCCTTTATATTTCGGAGCTGTTACCCTGAGCTTGCTAAGCTCTATCAAAGTCCTTATCAGTAAGGACGACGCGTGGGGCTATAGAGGCGCGTGCGTCAAGTGGATATACGATTGATAACTGCTATTGAATGCAAGGCTGCGAGGCTAAGGTCGGCCCGCCCGCCAAGACTCCTCACAGCCACAGGCCTGATAGGAAGCACAAATAAAATTAGATATGGTGGTTGTTTTGCACTAGCCGAGGTCGCCAGGAATGTAATTTATTTAGATCTTCCTACAAGTGTTTCGTCGACGCATTCAAGCCTAAGCACGGGTCTCCAAAATATCCCAGCTTTCGCAGGAGAAAGCTACCGAGGCCCACAACCTTCCCAACTCACTTGAGTATTCTTAAGAATAGGTCTTACTATCTCGTTAACACACGCCACGGATAGACACCTAGTAGACGTTTCAGACAAGATCTGTTCAGCAGCACTAGAACCCGGTGACCGGGTTAAAGCACCAATACCAGCAACCACGTAGCTCCTATGAGCGCCGACCTGATATCGTTTTCGCATCTTTTCTACTTCCGATTAGTATTGCGTAGCTTCCTAGCCCGAATCGTTCGGCCGCTACCCCTCAAGGGTTTATGTAAGCTTTTTAGGGGATCCACACCTCCGTTGAAAGGCGAGAATGCTGATGATGTTTGGGCATGACGTTTGGAAGGTTACGGAGAAGAAACGGTATACAAAGGAGGAGCAGATTGAGATGTAGACAGCAGGTGAGGGGGGTTTTCAAACCGGGAAAGGGGAAGCATTGGAAGTTTTGTGCTACTTATGATAAGCGGGTTGCTTAAGGACAGCTCTGGCGAGCCGTCCCCTAATTACTCTACCTCCACCTCCCAGGCGTATAAATACCCTCATCAGCCCAAAATCCCAATGCTTGATCTTATTATCTTACGTCTTCCCCTTCAAACCCGCCGTCCCAGGGAACCTAATGTCCATCCCTGCGTAGCGAGATACCCTGTGTGCGGAGACAAATGAAGGGTACTTTGACTTGCAGCTGCTGCAAAGCCCACGCGCGAGATAGATATAGCTATAATTCTATATAAATAACCTTCTATAGCTTATCCTAATGCCTATAATCCCCTTTTCTCTGAAAATTACGTTCATGTCGTCGTTTCCGAGCCTAATCTATCCAGCGCCTTCTTTCGCGGTGTAATAGGCTTCCCTCTACACGGCGCTTATTTAGTCAGCCAATACGTTCACAACGTTGAAATCGGCTTCAACATATTCACACTTCGAGATGCCGCCCAACGCGCGATGATACCTACTTTTGTAAACGTGGAGATACCGTCACGTCACCATCGAGCGCCGAAACTCGCCGTTATCCTCTCCGTCGACCGAAGAAAAGATCTAGTCAAGCCCGCCACGTCCTCACGCTTCTCGAGCCTACCAGCGCCGATTACCAGACTAAGTAGCGGACGAGAGCTAGTCCTAGCTTGTTAAAAGGGGATACGTACGGCTAAGCAATCAATAACTCCTACATGAGCATCTCTGCAACGTCATTATAGGAACAACGCTACGTTTCTGTTAGCTATGAATGTAGCGAGATTGCTTCTTCCCTCCTTTATTACATCACAACTAAGGCGCTTACAATTATCAGCGTCGTGGGGAATGTCGTTTGGTCTACCTACTTCTTTAAGCAAGCAAACAATATGCGTTGTTAGATACCTTAGTGGGAAGAATAATACTCCATGATATAATCGAGGGATGTACGTGTCTAAAAAGCTTCCAAATTCGACCACATTACAACATCGTCAAGGGAGATCTCCTCTTCTTGATCGATCGCTTCTTCCTTGAGAATGGCTGACAATTCAGGGTCCGCTATAGCCTGCTTTGAGAATTTCAGTCCCAGCGACCGAAGCTTCTCCGTGGTCTCTCTTCTTTTTGCCTTATCCACTCTTCTCTCTGCCATTCTTTCCTTAAAATTTCTAAACATACGTGGAATAGCAGGCACTACACATAGGAAGACGGAAGAATACGATCCGAGTGCTGATAAAAGTCCGAGATACCCTTTCGAATAGCTCCAGTCTTGGAAGTCCACCGTGGTAAGGCCTTTCATGTGCAGTCCGGTTATAATCACTATTCTAAATAGTGTTTAGCGGGGTCCAACTAAGGGTTGCTGTAACCTACAGTATTCCAACGGTGAAGATGAAAAGGATACCGGCTTTTCTCCGAAATGGTAATTTTAGATTTATAATATCTTTAAGCGGCCAAAGAATGATCGTTATATCTAAAGCTAATCCTATGATCTCAAAGCTCAAATAAGCAGCAAACTCATTACCGCATTGTCCTTGTACGGCGGGGTTCCAGGATTTTGAGACTGGTCGGCATATCAGGAACCCTCCGAGCAAAGCAGCCAAAAAGTGAAGGACGGAGAGGACGATCATGGCCACCATGACTGTGCTGGTTGGACTGAAGGAGAAGATCTTCCTATTAAAGCAGCAAGCAGCAACCCGAAAACAGGTGTTTACGAGTGACCATAGCGCTTCGTTCGCAACGAGCGACTACCGGCGATTCAGTAACGGACACGAGGATAGTCATTTCACCACTTACCTTTGCAATGAGCTCCATTTCACTATAGGGCACGCTGTTTAGATGTTGATATAAACCCTCTCGAAGGACTGCCCATGTCGTGATGCTTGTCAAAACAACGGAACACAGAAACGCAAAATAGACTAAAAGATCCTCTGAGCGCACAATGCCGGCTTCCCTTCGTCGAGCCAAATAGATAGCCCATAGAGAGAGTAATGCCAAGAGCGCGAAGGTCCAGGAACAAGCAATGGTGACGATCCCTTCGTGCGTGATATTTGCCATTTCAGATAGGAAAGCCTGTTAATGGTAGATACTATCGAGGTAAAAGGAGCTCACATAGCGTCTGAGTGTGGTTTAATGTCTCATTGATGTTTTCTTACACAGCCCAGCGGCTATACAATATGCGGTGTCACGACAAGAGCAGAGCCATGTACCACCCTAAGTCAACAAGGCTACATCTTGAGAGGGCGCAATATCGAATTAGAATTAAGCGATAAGAGCATACCTCACTAGTATCTCTTCAGGTATCGTGAATTCTATAAGCTAGGATAGTTATCATCGATGCGAAAGATTATAGGAAGGTTGACGCTCCGCAAGTACACGGACTCGACAAATCCTAATTTGTAAAGTGGAGCGCCGCGCGCGTTGTCCGGCAACTATTAGGGAACGGACAACAGAGCAAGGATATCCCAAGGAGCGTTGGGATTAGACAAGGCTGAATACTAGAGATGTCTGCTGGGCCATCACCGGATGTGATGTGACGTCCCCATTTGTGGGACTGCAGATTTTGATTGGTTTGCGAAAGCATGAATTCGTGATTGGCGGTACCGTAATAAAGCAATTGCCCGAAAAGGAAATGAAAAAGCTTCGAGACTTTCTACAAAAGCTGCAACAAAAAAACAGGCTGCGCACAAATTAGGCGCAGAGACGATAAGGTAAATATAAATTTTAGGTAAGAGGCAATTGCGATGTTAAGGAATAGCTACAGTACATAACTCGCATGCTTTTATGGCAGTATCCATTGCGTGCACAGGCTGCGTGTTACTAGAAGTCGAAGTACCCTCATATGTCTCGGCACACAGGGTGTCTCGCTACGTAGTGAAGGACGTTAATCTCAACATCGCAGAAATACAAAGCTCACCAATACACGCCGGACGGTAAAACACCATCCAAGACAAAGAAAGCCCAGGCAGCTGCTTGTCTCCAACGCCTCAAGAAACATACCCAATTATGTGCCAACCAAGTGTCTCAAATCTCTTTCATCCGACAAAGGGGAGCTGAAATTCATGCTTCAAGACCCAAGTACAGATTATGTGGTATGTAGCCAGCACGCACAGTTTAAATCTGCTCTCCGTGGCTACAATCATCACAATATGCAACATTAAAGCATACGTGTGCTGCATTTAACACACACACACATACAAGATTGGGCATCTTACAAAGGCTTTTGTAGCTTGGGAGAGATGATAGGCGAGACAAGTGGTTGGTAGCATTGTTCGGTATCTGAGAGTCTAGCATATCCCGGACTAGACTCTGGGCGCCGTGGTGGCAGGCATCTCTTCTTTTCTCTTTAGCCTTGCAGGCTAGGCTAGTGAGGCTCTGGAATACATCCAGTCTTTCCAATATACCTACCCGACTGCGTAGAGTGCGTTACAAGTTTCAAGCGAGGGGGCCTTTGCTATTTGAACATTGGCCTAACAAAGATGCGCCGTGTTCGGTGCGGGTCGACTTCGTGTTCCATTCTTCCTTTGTACTCAAAGCTATGCACCGTCGTCGACATCTTCGGATACGGAACACCCCATAACTGGTGAATAACGTCAGTGACTTCGTACTCCCAGTCAATCCAGCTTCCATTGGCCTTGAGCAACATGTCGGTCCGCACTAAGAGGTTCCAGCAATAGCTGAGATACTTCCTTAACTGTTCCCCGTTCTCTGGATGCAATGGATCGTCGGGGACCAGGAGTCTGCGTTGGGGGGTATAATTGGCGAAGTCGAGAACCAGGAGAGCGAGCTCGGCTGGGAGGCCTTTCCTACCCAAGAGGTTGATGACGATGGGAATGTCGTGCTTCCCAGGGACATACTTGTTCTGAAATTTGTGTTCGATGAGGTAGGAAGGGTGGACTCGGCCGAACTGTTCCCGCTGATTCCAGGGAGCTTGCGTGTAAGTTCCCCTTGGGGCCCCGTAGAACTCTCGGTGAGGGTAAGTGCAGACATCGAAATTGTCACACCCTCGTACCCAGGTACATCGCACGAGAGTCTCTTGGTAGGAGCTTGTTAGTCGGTAGTCGAATTGCTCCGGGGATGGGATGGCTTCGTTTCGCTTTTTCAAGTCTTTCATCTTCTCCTCTCTCATCGTAGCGTCGTACAACTCCGGCTTCAGATACAAGACATTCAGACAAATGTACGCTGTCAATGCCAAATTTTTAACATCGGCCCATCCATGGTCGGCGTAAGTCTCGATCGACCACACACGCGGCAGCCACACATCCGAATGCGCGGCGAGTCGGAACAACGGATCCATTTCACCCCACAGGAGAAGCGTCTTGAGCAATTCAAGCATTTCATGGACGGATTGGGGAGGGTACCTAGACCCATCTTGGATATTCGTGATCCAAAACTGGATGCGTCGTTCCTCAGGCCGTAATGCCAAGTCTTCCGGCCGATGGATGTCCCCATAAAGCCAGGAATGTGCTTTGTACTCTTTGACAGTCTTTGCGATTCTGCTGACAGATGCATCGGAAATAAAGACTTCGTCGGACTCAGGGGGAGTGTAAAATGCGGGATATTTTGCGCGTTCCTGGGTGGAGAAGTCATTCAGCAGAGTCGCAAATACGCGCGCAAAGTGCTGTAGCTGGTTGCCTTGGCCGTGCTTGAAGCATGGATATAGGTTTGTGCGGCCGTGGTAGCGGGCGTTCGTGTGCACGAACTTGAAGTTGTCGGCCAGAGTCTGCCAGGGGAGGCTATGAGACTGATGCGCCATGCGGGCAAGATCAAGGGAGATGACAACAATTCCAGGTAGTAAGTGTATTTCAGTAGGCCAGCGAATAATTATTCCGCGTATATCTGCCGAGATGACGAGATACGTTAGGAGGCACGACTGCCTGGTGGCAATGCTAGCGATGAAGCAGTCATTGCCTCCGGCTTCACTGTGGTACACAGCCTGGTCCTGAGCGTAGGAGTCATCCACCGGCAGCACCTTTCCCGAATACCGGATTAGGGATGGATAGATCCTATCTTGTGTGTCAGTACAGTACACCAGAAACAAGGTGGATATTCTGATGGAGTTACGGTGATGTGAATGAAGCAAGGGGCGGAGCAGAGCGCAAGGACCATGTGCCCAATTTCGGCTCGGGGTTCAATTGGATGCTCATCTCGCTCTTAGAAGCAGGGGTCCAGACTTCTGCCTAGCACCCGCAAGAACCAGGTATTGGAGACCGCCTTCCTCACTAGCGTATTAAATGGGGGTCCCAAGTCTTTCCGATAGGTGAAAGCGCACAGGGATTGTCTGACGCTAGACCTGATTAGACCCAACACATTACAAAACAGTTGCATTCAGCCCTTCCGCAGAAACACCGAAACACCTAGTGGTCATGTGCTACGTGGTCCGCGCTCCAGCAAGAAAGTATTTAAGCCCGCCGTTCCCCCGACCCATTTTGAAAAACCATCCCAGTGCTCGGGCAGTACGCTTGTCAGTGAAGATTCGTCTGAGACAGCGTTTTTGCTAGTTGAAAACTACAACTATGACTGCTTTAGTTGGTCTTCGGATCGGCTAGGAATTTTTGACACCAAACGCTTAATGCTTTTCATTGATCTCCGCGCCGAGGTTGCGGGGTTGAGGAAGAGTTTTATATCTGCGAGAATTCTTTAGGACAATGCTCTTTCTGCTGTTGCCCTTTCATAGCGCCGTTGACGTGATCGTCGCTCGGATGGATTTTTTGCTGTCGCCGAGTTTGCTCACGCCTGGTGGAACTCATGGGACACAAGCTTTATAATCGCAGGTCGCCTTTGCTTATGGAAGTACACCTTAGATTACCTACGCTTCTTTCCACCCAAAGCAGCTTGAGCAATGTCCCCTGTGCAGCGAAAAACCCGCCATGTCAAGTCTCCCCCTCGCAAGACTAAAATAATGGGTGATGCGATGTTGTTCTTCGGTCATCTCTGCATAAGACACAAATGTGCAGCGAGAAAATATCGTAGTCTTCCTGTTGTCGATTGCTCTGTTGATGGAGTGGAGAACCGATTTTGTTTTTTACCCTTGTTTCAGGACGACCAACTAACGTCCATCCCTATGTCGCGAGCCACCCTCTGTAGCGAGCCGAATTATAGGTACTTCGGTTTCAAAGTAATCCTGACTTTCTATACATAACCGCATTTACTTGGTTCTCTGCGAGCGCTGCAGTTTGGCCTCTTCGGCACTACCGGGATGTGTCCCGCCTTAAAATTACGTCGGCGTCGTCCACGTTGTCGCCGTTTTACGAATAGACCCTATCTAGTAGCATTACAGAGCAGCTCTACTACGACTCCACTATCGAGCTCTTGTCACTGTTGATAGTTATAATGCGGCAGTATCTGAGGCGCAAATCATTCCTATTACGTTCACAAGTTATCCTTGGGATCGTGGCTGTCATACGCGGGTGATTCATGCGGCGTCGCCACGCTGATCGGTACTTGCCAATCTAAGCGACCAGGCCCTGGTTATCACGAGAGGCGATCTGCACGCTCACATAATAATTACAGTGTAACATAAGCCACAGCGGCGAGTAAGCCAAGTCTGTGCCTGGCAGGTCTGTGGCACAGCATCCCGCCCAGATGCAGCGGCTGGTAGGTGTTTACGGTTTTTCACTTTCGTTAATTATTCGACTTCCTTATTCAACAAATGCGAACGCTTTGCTCTGTAGCAAAGCCGCTCTCCAACCTCTCGTAACAACTGCGTAAATTCTTGAATAGTCTGCTACATATTAAAAACGAACGGTTCGCGTCAGGGTCCGGTGTGTAGTGCAAGGCTTCTAATAACATCCAAGCAACATGAGCGCCCCTTCACCGGCCAGCCTGCGCCACGATGCAGCCTCGCGGGCAGCGTCTACATCCACCACTGCACCACCTCCATGATCCGTCCTCCGACGTCTGTTTCCACACTGTCGACCCTCGAATTCCTCGCACCGACATGTCGAACGAGCTGCAGAAGCCGCGCTTCTGATGAGATCGCGCCTCAGCCATGGCCTTCTTCCGCCTTTTGCAGCGCACACCGGACGGCGACATCGTCTTTCGCGAACCTACCAGCGGCCGTGTCCCTGCCTACGCAATACTCTCTCATACATGGGGGAAAGATGAGGTCATCTTACAGGACATGGAAGCCAACGCGGGCATGGACAAGGCTGTGAGCAAAGCTGGGTGGAGGAAGATACAGTTCTGCGCGGACCAGGCCGCAGCTGATGGACTGCACTACTTTTGGATAGACACATGCTGCATCGACAAGAGGAACGCGGTCGAGCTCGGCGCGGCGATCAACTCCATGTTTCGGTGGTACCAGAACGCTTCGCGCTGCTACGTGTACCTTTCGGATGTATCTAAATCGGAGGGAGCGGGTGGCGAGAAGGCATGGAAAGAGGCTTTCAGGACAAGTCGATGGTTTACACGCGGTTGGACGCTTCAAGAACTCATCGCACCAAGGCTGGTAGAATTCTTCAGCTCAGAGGGTGAGCGACTTGGCCACAAACTGGTGCTTGAGCCTGAGATACACGAGATCACGGGCATCCCGGAGAAAGCTCTCCGAGGCGATGCGCTGTCGAATTTTAGCATCGAAGAACGGAGATCCTGGGCCGAGCGCCGCAATACTACGATTGAAGAGGACGGGGCGTACTGTTTGATTGGAATCTGCGGCGTCTCTATGGTGCTAAATTATGGGGAGGGGAGAAACCATGCATTTAGTCGGCTGGAGAAGGAAATCCATAGCATGTATAAGGGTAGGATTTGCCCGAACGTGTTCACTGAGGCAATGAAGCTGACCAACGCAGGTGTCGACTTTGAACAATTTGCCGTCCAACTCAACCTTGCGTCGCTTCCTGAAGCTGCACGATTTGTTGCTAGGGAGGAGGAGCTGGCGAAGATGCATGACCTGCTTGATGGTCATGGTCATAGTAGCCGATCAGCAGTCGTCCTTCACGGACTTGGAGGGATTGGAAAGACTCAGCTGGCAATTGAATACATCAGACGGCACAAGGAAAAACATACAGCGATATTCTGGTTGAATGCGAACGATGAAGACTCTCTCCGGCTCAGCTTTCGCAACATCGCTCAGCAAGTCCTAAAGTATCACCCCTCGACTGGAATGCTCAGCGATTTAGACTTGGAAGGGGACCCCGACCGAGTGGTCGATGCAGTCAAAACGTGGCTCGATCTTCGGAATAATACGCGCTGGCTGATGGTCTTCGATAATTACGACAACCCCCGAACCCCTGGTAGTTCCGACCGCTCGACAGTAGATATACGTCGATACCTGCCAGAAAGTGACCACGGCTCGATCATCATCACAACGCGTTCAGCGAGAGTTAGCCAAGGCCAGCATCTCCACGTCCAGAAGTTGACAGGCCTAGAGGACGGGCTCAAGATCTTGGCGAACATGTCCAGAAGGGAAGGCATTGAAAAAGGTGTGTCATATAGGTACTAAATGAGTTATTCGGAGCTGATAAGCTAGATCCTGATGCGAGAGCGCTCGTCTCGCAGCTCGATGGCCTACCTCTTGCTCTCTCCACAGCCGGGGCTTATCTAGAGCACGTGACCACCGGCTTCGCGGAGTATGTTCGGCTATACGAGGCATCCTGGTTGAAGCTTCAGAGGACAAGTCCAACATTAAATTCATACGAAGACCGATCACTGTACACGACATGGCAGGTCACTTTCGATCGGATTCGAGAACAAAATGCGGCATCGGCCCAGTTGCTCAAGCTGTGGGCCTATTTCGACAAGCAAGACATGTGGTTTGGACTTCTTCGACATGCATGCTATACGGACGATGAGTGGATACAGAAGCTTACCGAGGACGAACTGAGTTTTAACGAGGCAGTTCGTTTGCTATGCGAGTACGGTCTAGCTCACCCAGAGCCTTCACTTGGACAGCGGTTTGGGTCGGAAGGGTATGGAGTGCATAGCTGTGTGCACTCATGGGCGATCTCTGTCTTGAATAGCGAATGGGACAATGGCCTAGCACGGCTAGCTCTGACTTGTGTGGCATCTGAAGTTCCTAGCACGGATGTAGACAAGTGGTGGCTCCTTCAGCAGCGGCTTCTTCAACATGTTGCAAGACATGAGCAGTTCACCATGAATGGCAACGTCGATGTTGAGGGAATGGAATGGGCATTGCACAGTCTGGGTGACCTCTATACCGACCAAGGCAGGCTGGCGGAGGCGGAGGCCATGTACAATCGGGCGCTGCAAGGC